TAATAACAGCCACCAGATTATTACCTCGTGCTGCCTCTTACTCACTGTTCTTGAAGTGCTTTAACCTGTTCTTGTGTCTCCTCCTCTCCTTCTTCCCCTTTTTACCACAAGCACATTCCAGTTTTTTCTGACTTTCCCTTCAATAACCTGTGCCTTTCTTCCTTTTTTTTTTTTTTTTTTTTTCTCTAAATCCTCCCATATAATTAAATTCTCATGCAGAGTACAATTTCTCAGGCCAGTTGTGAATTTTCTTGAGATGAAGTGAACTGCACTCAGCTCAGGTGAGTGTCTGGGAATTTGCTCAGCCCCACAGGCTCCTGGGCAGGTTTGGAGCTCTCCAGTCCCTGCAGAGATGGAAATCCAGCTGCTGCCACCTCAGCTGGGCTGAGAATGGAAATTCTGGGCAGGTTTGGAGCCCTCCAGTCCCTGCAGGGATGGAAATCCAGCTGCTGCCACCTCAGCTGGGCTCACTGCATGTGATGGGTGGCAGAACTTCCCTATTCTTCCCTTTCCTTTGGATTTTTCCTTCCTTTCATCTCCCCTCTGTAAAAAACTTTTTCATCAGCTTTTCTGAACTATTTCTGGCCCATTTTTTAAGATTTTAAAGTTCTGCTCTCCTTCCACAAGGTTCTGGAAATGTCCTTTCAGATATTTTGTGGGCACAAAAGTCACCTTGGTCCCCTTTTGTGTTTCTGAGCCTTTTTGGAGGCTGTGCTGCCAGGTTCTCCCTCTCCTGGGAAGTTCCAGCTCACCAGGGGGCTCCTTTTGGTATAAGGTGATCCATTTTAGGGCTCCATCTGCTTTTTCAGTGCCAAAGGAGTCCCAGCCCTTTATACCCTTAACTTGCATGTCTTCAGCATCTCAGTTTCAAGCCCTGCACATTTTCTGTCCCCAGAGGGTCAGACTTTGGCCATGGCACATGGGAGAAAAGAGCTCCACGTTTTAAACTTGTTTACCTCTCTGCATTTGGATTTTCTGACAGATAGAGCCTCTGTTAAAGGTAATTTAAGATGAGAACATCACAATTCTCTGTCTTGGAATAAAACCCTGCCACAAATCACATCTGCATATTAACAAGTCTTTTGTGGTGCTTTTCACTCGGTGCATTTCAATAAAAGCTCAGGCAGATTTTTGGGTGGCATTGAGAACCGCCTGCTCTCTGTGAAAGCAGAACAGCAATCTTATACCTCAACATGATTTTTTCAAGCTTATATGAACATTTAAAATAAATATTAGGTGCTTTAAACTCGATTTTGCTACTTAGGTGTATTAATATGATGTATTTTATTAATATTTCTTATTTTCTCCTTTTCTGTAAGGTCAATACTGGGTCACATTACACTGAAATAAGTACAGATAATCTAAATATAGGGTTAACAAGTTTGTGTCTTTTCCCCCTATAAATGCATAAAGTTTCTCTCTGTAAATCCATGTAAGTCTTTCTATAATTTCTAGAAAACAGTAACAGCAGAAAAAAATATTTAAAACCCAATTGTTTTTCTGTAAGTATATATGATAACATTAAACAGACTCAAGCCAATGGAGATGTAGGCTTCCTTTATTTTTTTTTTTTTTTTCCTATTAAAAGGAACACCTCTAAAACAGTTTGGAAGCAAGAACACCACATAATTCAAGTAAAGGTTTCCTGACAGCTGGTTCATCTTGTAAAGGGCAGAGGTTGCATTTTAAAATCCTGCTTTTCATATTAAAAAAAAAAAAAAAAAAAAAAAAAAAAGTCTTCTTGGAAATCTTGCTCTTGTAAGAAGCAGTTAGTTTTCTGCTACAGTTTATTCCTAGAAAAAGAACACTTTGCATTCATTTGTGTAGCACTTTTATCCCATCTCCTTTCTGTGGAGCGTAAAATGCAAAGAAAAAATTTTGGGAAATTCTGATGGTCTGATCGACTTCTCACCTGGGCCAGGGGATCCTCTGGGGTTTTAGAGAAGCCACATTGAATCTCAACAATTAACAACTCAAAAAGCAACTCAGAATTTCCTCCATCCCTCTCAAAGAATTCAGGTTCTTATGAGGTCTGGCAATTAATTCCTCTACTCCTAAAATTCCTTCCTCCCTTCAAACACCTCTGCTCCACCTGAATTTATCATTGTCAGATGAAAGGAACAGAAAATAAAATTAAATGCATTTAAAATTTTGTTGTTTTCATTGGGTTGTGGAGGATTGTCTCAGGATTTTGAGTCATAAACATAATTTTTTATTCAGTGTGGAAGCTTGTCAGATTTAGGGACACTTTCCAAGAACTTGATCTAAATTCAATCTGTTTCCTTCAGATTTTCTTTCATTGTTACAAACAACTTTTTTCAGCTGGAATAAAACAAAGTTTTCAGCTGAAAAGTGAAATATTTTATTTGGTTGTGCTTAATCTACAAGGTATCTACAGATAAGTCCTTTTATGTTAATGATAATATTTTGTATTATTTGCATGTTCCGTGGTACCATTTATGTCAACATGGAGATCAGTTCTGACAAGACAAACACAAAATTAACCTCGCTGCTCAAGTCAAGGAGTATATTTATTTTTTTCCTGATTTTGCTTAATCAAGATTATTTTTTTTAAAACTGAAGAGTCTTGGAAATATTACTCTGCAGCAGCTCTTCGTAATTTTGTACAAGCTGGGCTAAATTTCAACCATCTGAAAAGGAAATAAAATCAGTGTTTGACTGTGGCGAGACCAGGCTATGTTTCTTTTGTGAGAAATAGAAGAGGAGGTTTGCTATTAAAAACCAGAATATTCATCGTATTTAATTATAAGTCTTATCTAATAAAAAAAGGAGAGTGAATTCTGGTGTTACATCTGCTGAAACAGAAGTACTTGCACTAGGAAACCATTTAAAACAATCAAGACAAAACCGAATCTGCTGATTTGGAAAGGGAATCTAAAAATCCAAGACAGCCCAGTTGAGATGATTAAGGTTAAACAGAGCAAAATTCCTTAGCCCTTCCCAAACCCCCTATTCTGCTGCAGGGGGAAGTTGCAGGGTTGGATTCTGAGTTGCATTTGAGGCTGGTAATGAGCAGCTGAAGGCACTGAACTTAAAAAGTTTCTTAATTTCTTCCTTGAGTTAATTTCTTAATTTCTTCTTAGTTTCTTCTCAGTTTCTTCTTAGTTTCTTAGTTAGTTTTCTTAATTTCTTCCTTGAGGAAGTGGTTTTAGTGAGGTTCTTGTGCTGAAGGTTTGGGTGGGCCAGCAGTGGAAGGAGATCCCTGCCAGGAGATCCCTTGGGAGCAGCCTTTGCCTTAGAAACTCAGTGTAAACTACAGAGAACTTGGCTAAAAACTCCCTTCATTTTTATTTTCTTCCTCTCTCAGTGGCTGTTCAGACTCATCTTTCTTCCTTTGACTTTTGGTAGTTTTGTTATTGTTCACATGCAAGATTAATTACTCAGCTGGTGAATGGATTATGATGCTCCAGTTTGTAATTTAAATACAGAAATCAATCTGGTTGTAAATTCTCTCCAGTGGGAGGTGATGAATAAACCAAATTAAACTTCAGTCAGAGGTGGAAGTGAAGCTGCTGAAGCCCCTGGTACCTGGGTAAGGTGGAGAGGTGATGTCAAATTCCTGCCTGGTCCCAGTCTTCATGGAAAATTGGAGCAATTCTTCCCAGATCCCTCAGGAGAGGAGGCTCTGCTGGCCAGGCTGAGTTCTCCTCTCTCCCACCAGCTGGGATTTCTCTGGATTGTGACTCTGGAATGTGCCCTTGGCTGTCCAGTATTTCTCCCAGATGCCCTTTAAGTAAGAAGGAGAGCTATGCCACTTTTTTTTAGTGACTATTATCTATTTAAATTTTTATTGCATCCAACTTTGAAATAAATAATTAGCAGATTTATATAAATTAATTCAGAATTAACAATTCAGAACAGAGTGGTTCTCTTAATACTGTTTTGCTTTTGGCAGCAATAATGTACTTGCAGTTCTAGAAGCATCCCACTGCATTTCTCTGTGGGGAAGACTGATGAATTAATACTGGAATTGTTTTTACTCAGTGTTCCTTAATACATTCATTATCAAATTGAAATGCTGAGAAACTCAATTGACCCCAGTATTTTTTTTAATGAGTGTTCCTTGTAAGTGTGTTTAGTTGAGAACATTTAGAAATTGTGTTGAAAATTGTTAAAAAATATTGTGTTAAAATGGTTTATATTAATCTGGCAGGGTGTTAATGTGAATTTAATGCCATTGCTTTGCATTATTTAATGTCATTCATTGTTTTAGTCCTTCCTGTCACTTTCAGTATTATTCTTATTCTTATCCTGCAGGTTTTGGTGGCTCAGGTGAAGCTCAGAGTCCTCTATCACATAGCAGAATTTCTCCTTACTTTTGTTTAGTCCAGGTTCAGCAAGGATGGGTTGCTCAGTATAAAATTTAAAAGGATTAAGATTTCTGTCAATTTATTTCCTTTCTCTCTTCCACAGAAAAAAATTTTTTTATTATTATTTGTCCTTTTCCTCCACTCTGCCACATTTCATCAGGAGGCAGTGCTTGGAAAAGCAGCTCCATCCCCTCCCCTTTATTGTAAATGCAGGTGAACCCAATGGGAAGAAATGCTGATGCCTGATTCAATTCAGAAGGCTGAATTATTTCTTTATTATAACTATGTTAAAATACATTAATATACTATATAAAAGGAGGATACTAATATTACATACTACTTTCTCTGACTCTAACTCTAACACAACTCGTGACCCTCTCTGAGAGTCCAGCCCCAGGTGGGTTGGATTGGCCATCAGGCTCAAACAATCCTCACCAGAATCCAACCAAGCACTCACTCCAGGTAAACAATTCTCTAAACACATTCCACACAGGAAAAAAACAAGGAGCAGAAATAGAAATTGTTTTCTCTTTCATTTCTCTCTGTGCACCTCTATGAAAAATCCTGAGAGGGAGAGAACTGTGCTTGCCACACCCCTTGTCGTGTCACAAATTCCATTTCTTGTGGTACATCCAACACTCCCAAAACTGCTCCTTTCCATCTCTGCAGGGTGTGGTACTGCGACAGGAGGAGCTGAGGATGAGGGGGAGGCCGAAGCTGGCTGGATTGAAGGTGCTGCCATCCTTCTGTCTGTCATCTGTGTTGTCCTGGTCACTGCCTTCAACGACTGGAGCAAGGAGAAGCAGTTCCGGGGGCTGCAGAGCCGCATCGAGCAGGAGCAGAAGTTCACCGTGGTGCGAGGGGGACAGGTCATCCAGATCCCCGTGGCGGAGATCGTGGTTGGGGACATTGCACAGGTCAAATACGGTGAGTGCACGGCCTTTGGGCCCTTGGTTTGCTCTGCTGGCCCTTCCCAGCAGGACGGACACGCTCCACTGGCAGCGTTATGGCAGGTTTAGATGGCAGAAAAGTCACTCTTGGCCACGCTGAGGTGACGCCTGAGCTGTCAGGGCAAAAGGAGAGCAAAATGAAGACCTGCTGTAAAACTGTGCTAAGAAACCAATTTAGTTAGTGTAAACATCTTTCACTGACCAGGAGAAGGACTGGTCAATTTTCTAGTTCCTTCCAGTTTTCTGTATTTGTTCTTCCAGTTTTCTTGTTCTTCCAGTTTTCTTGTCCTTCCAGTTTTCTGTATTTGTTCATACAAATACAGAAGTTTATAAATTCTCTGTCATGGAGAATTACATTATTCAGATTTATTTATTTTTATTTCTGTCTGGTTAGGGGCAAGAGGAAGTGTTTTTAAATGTTGTGTAGAAGGGAATTGGGCCTCTGTGATCACCTCACAAGTTGCTTCAGACCCAGAGTGATCCCCCAGATCAGGTGCCTGATAATTCCATGCCATAGGGAAAGCCCTGTGCTCCAGTGGAGTGAAAGACTCCTGCAGGAACTCTGGGTGCTCTGGAGCGAGTTGTTAATTCCAGCAATATCCCTCTTCCATCAGCCAGCACATTTCTCCTGGACTTACCTAAGGGCTCCCTGAGGGGGAAGGGGAAAGGGCAGCTCAGCTGTTAATTAGCTGCTGTTAATTCCTATGCAGTCTGATGGAGAAACCGTCAGGTGATGTGAGGAGAACTTCCCTGCCAAACCCCCATCATGGAGATGCCCACTGTGTGTTAAATGTGCTGCATTTGGACTCTGGGATAGCACGAAGCAGAACATGTTTGCAATAAAAGGCCTTTCCTCGTTGGATTGCAGTACTGTGGTTCATATGGACAGAATCAGGAGTAATTCCTCCCCTTCTCTTTCATTTCACCTTTTTTATGCAATTAATTGTGATTTTTATAACAAAACTCATAATGCAATCCTAAAAGCAATCTCATGGAGGTTTTCCATCGCCACGTTCTGACCACAGGTGACCTTCTACCTGCTGATGGGATATTTATTCAAGGAAATGATCTCAAAATCGATGAGAGCTCTTTGACTGGAGAGTCCGACCAGGTCCGCAAATCCGTGGACAAAGACCCGATGCTGCTGTCAGGTAAAACCTGCCCCATCCCCCTGCCCTGGGCTCTGCTGGGTGCCTCTTCTCCTGGGAAAGCTGCTCTGGGAGCGTAGGAGCCAATGGCACTTTTTGGAGGATATTTTTATCCACCTTTGTCTTCCAATTCAGGAGAAGATTCCCTCAGAACAAAGCACAGGGATGCAAATAGCAAGTCCTTAATTAAAAGGTATTTGGAAATTGTGGCACACCTTAAAGGAAGCTCTGATAAATTTCTGAGGAAGGTTTCAGCGCTTTTCCTTTCCAGCTGAACCAACCAAGTCTCTGCTGGCTTTTAAAGATATTTTCTGATCTTTAGGTTTGAATTTAATTTATTTTGGGTTGGTTTTTTTTTTTTTTTACCTAATTTGTGTATTTGTGATGTCTTGCTGAAACTGTTTTCTTGCAGAAGATAAACTCGATTAGTGACAATATTTCTTTTAAAAAGAGAACCTGATGGATGTGCTGCCTGAGGTTTGTGCTTAAGCATTAATTCTTGTTTGAGAATAATGCACAACAGGGTTTATTTTGGTTATGTGGTTATATCCCCCTCAGTATAGCTTTATAAAGTGCAGCAAATCTCTCTCAATACAGTCAGAAAACATAACTTTTTACATTTATTTTAGCTCTCAGTAACCTTTCTTGCCTCTTTTCAGGCACCCATGTCATGGAAGGCTCTGGGCGGATGCTGGTGACTGCTGTGGGGGTGAATTCTCAGACTGGCATCATCTTCACTCTGCTGGGAGCTGGGGGAGAAGAGGAGGAGAAGAAAGACAAGAAAGGTAAGTCTCCCAACACCAGGATGCTCCAGAGAAAGCTCCTGGGCTTTGTGCAGCCAGAGCTCTCCTCCGCTTTTGACAAATAAATGTGATTTTTCAAACTGCCTTTTTTTTTTTTTTATGACACATTTTTATCATCACATGTCACACAGAAAAACAGCAGAAGCTGTTAGCCAATAAATCCATTGGATAACAAGATGTTTTTCCAGTGTGAAACTGCAGGCTCCCAGTCCATGCTGAAATGCAAGGGAACAGCTGGGCATGCTCCAGTTGCTGTGGCTTCTCTACATGAATCCATGCTCACCTACAGTTTGCTAAGATTTTGTGCTTTTCTATCAATTCAATTCTTTTTCCCCAGGAAAAAAAAAAAAAAACCTTGGCCATGGAAATAGCATCTGTGTTGGAGCTTCAGGACTGAAATAAAGATAAGCTCTGGCTCTTTGCTAGCCTGGTTGTTTAATGTCAGTGACTGACTTGAGAGGCATTTTAATTTCTTCAGGTGTAAAGGTCGAGCTAAGAATAGTAAAAGCCAAGAATGTAGCAGTAAATGTTAGCAGACAGTTTTACTTTCATGTCCTGCATCAGTTAATGAAATCAAGAAGCCTCTTTGGGCTTTTCACCTTATTACAGTGTGATGTCATAAGCATTTGCTAATTTATGGGCTGCACACTAAGCAGAAACATGATTTAATGTCTGTCCTTGCCAGTTTTTCTTCACCCAGTCTTGTAAATGGTTCTGCTTCCACAATTTCATTCCAAGTCTGTCCTAAGAATAGCTGTCTTTCAGATATGATTAAGGGCCAATTAATACAGGTTTTTCAGATATTTCTGCTCTTTCTAGTGGTTTTCACTATTAATAAAAAAAAGAAGTTAAAGCTTTACTGAACATTTTATTTGCTATCTGTCAGGCAATATGATTCCACCTTTTTTTTTCTTTCCATCTTTTTATATGAAGTTGGAGATAGTAAGGCCAAATTCAAGTGGTTTTTAAGACCTACAATTTCCATTTCTGAATATGTTCAACAAGTGTCTGCCTTTGACTCCCTGCTGCTTTGAGGAAATTTCTTTTTACTAAATGAAATGTTTACCATTTCATTTCTGCACAGAAATACACAATAGCTGCCAGGCATGGGGGCTCCAGGAGAAGTAAAATGAGAAGAGACTGAAACTTCACAAAGCAAAACTCTTCCATGCCAGACTAGTTTTGAGCAGCACCTTGGGGTTTGCTTTTGCTGTCCTTCAGGGCCTTTGTGTGGTCTGGAGGAGAGGAGGAGCAGCTTCACCCCTGTGTGATGTGAGAGTTCCCTGGGCTGGGTTTAACTGGGCTGGCCTCCCTAGGCTGTGCTCAGGACACTGGTGGCTCTCTCAGGTTTCACTGGGAAGAGCCTGGAAAGGCAGGAAAAAAGAGAAATCAGGGCGTTTGCACCACATTGTGGTTGTAACTTAGCCAAAGAGAGAGATTCTTACAGAGGTGTGCTAGAATTTGGATGCAGACACAGAATTTAATTGAACATTACTCTGTAGAAACAGCTAGAATATAAAGAACCCATAAAATAGAGAATTACTCCACATTTTCTGATGCAGTTTTGTGCTCGTGCCTGGGCAGAGCTGGTGGCAGATGGAGGCACCAACTCAAAACCTCTGGTACATAAACCTGCAGTTCTCAGAAATCCTGCCCCTTTCAGTCCGTGTGGGTGTGTGCTTTTATTGTTCATTAACACTTTAAAAATCATCATGCAGGTGTGAAACAGGAGGAGGAACGGCAGCTTCCAGGTAGAGTAAGAATTGTATCCCATCCAATGGTGCAAATCAGGGGGGAACTGCTGATTGAAATAATCATCTTTGAATCAGTCAAGTTGAAATTTAAAAAAAAATTATTTCAAATCAACAAGATTGCTGGTGCCAAATCTTTTGGTGTGCAGGCGTTGTTAGTGTTGCAAATCTTCCCGTTCAGCTGGAATAATCAGCTGTTCTCCAGAAGTAAATTGCAAAGTATTTAATGTGGAATACTTGATTTGCTGTTAGCAGCTCTTGCTGTGCTGGTTGGGGTGGGGATCCAAACGGAATAAAGAGCAAGGACGAGTCACCAAAACAGTTTAAGTCGTTGCCACCACAGTAATCAAATTTGCAATTGAAATTTTCCTGAATGCAGTTGCACAGGGTGTGTTTTTAAATCCTGGGAGCTGTTTATTTTCTTCTCCCAATTTGCCATTTGTAAATAAAATCAGCCCATTCTTCTGCAGTACCAACCCAGTACAGCACAAAATAATCCCTGTGAGGCAAGGACCGGAGCAGCTTGAAAGTCTTGGTCAGGATTCATGGGAGGACTTGGTTCTGTTGTGAGCAATTCACCACCAGAAACAAAACAAAATAAGTTTCAGCTATTATTTGCAGAGACTAATTTTATTGAACTTTATTATAAAAAAACATAGTAAAATGATAAAACCTTCTTTAAGCTTTTCACCTTCCTATGAGGAAAGATTTCTTGTCCAATTTTCTCTAATATGTGAATAATAACTGAAAAGAAGAAGAGGTTTTCTTTTCTGATTCTTCCTTCATGTCATCACAAACCAGGAAATGTATCATGTCTGTTATCTGGATTTAAAATAACCCCTTATTCTCCTCAAGACTATTTTTGCCTTTCCCATACAAAACATAGGAAAATTCCATGTTTCTACTCAGATCAATGTGCATTTTACCTGGGTGATGTCAGGGCATGGATTGAGCCCTGTTAGACTGGGATGCACCAGTGATGATCAATCATAATGTGCAAAATCATTTAAAACATAAAATAATTACTACTGTACTATGTAGAAGTATGTACAGATATTGTTATAATACATTTTTAAATGCAAATTTTAAAGCTACACATGCACTGTGTAAATTAACTCCAAAGGAAACATTTCAGCCACTTAAAAATGCATAAATTACATTAAAGTACAAAAAATAAGATATAAAAAGACTAAAGAAATGCACACAGGACAGTCTGTTCTCACCAACTCCCTTAACTTTGCTAAATGTGTTTCATATTTATCTTTTGTTATTACTATTGTTATTATTATTGCTATTATTATTTGAGTTTTCAGCTTACTTTGTAACTCCTTCCCAATGCCACATTGCTTTGGAAATTTGTGTTAATTAATTTCAAACTCTTTGATTTTGGGAGCAAACAAAGCCACGAAGGCTTTTCGCTCTGTCACGTGCATTCATTCGCGTTGCTGTTATTATTTATTTATTATTTGCTGTTTTGTTTTTGTGTGTTTTTTTCGTTTGTTTTGTTTTGGTTTTGTTTTTTTTTATCCATTATTGCTCAGTAGATTCTTCCCATCCCTCCTCCCACCCTCCTCCAGCCACAGATGGTGCAGCAGGTGCAAATGCCACTGATAATGCAAATGCCAGCTTAGTCAATGGTACGTCACAACCCCCGGCTTGTGTGATTTGATGGATTTCTCTCCTGACTGTGTCAAATTCCCTCTCCCCTGGCTGCCCTGCACAGATGTTGTGTGTGTGTGAGTGCACTCTGAGAGATCCTGCTCCACATGCTCTGCAGGAGCTTGGCAGAGGGGCCACAGGGGTGCTGCAGCTTCATTCCCACAGAATTCAGCCTGGCAGAGCTTGGCACTGGGATCTGTTTGCCATTCAAACTGCAGCTAAAAGAAGCAGTTATGTCAGGCCAGTTTCAAAACTTTTGGACAGATTTGCTCGAAGTTTTATTATAAAATTTCATTATTCAGCACAGATCTGGAGAGGAGCAGCATGAGAAAGGGATTCTCTCTGCTTCTGTTTTTCACTCCTAATTCCTCACACAGTTCTGAGAGAGGGCTGGGATCAGAGATCTGCCTCCATTTCAACCAATGCTGTGTTAGGAGCATCTGTTTTCAGCATCTGTTTCAGAGGGGACCAAGAAGTTTTGTGGATATTTGTCTGAGCCCTCAGTGACTTTCTCCAGAGCCTGCCTGTGCAAACTAAACCCAAACCAAACCATTCCTGCTGCCAGTTTTGACTGTGTCCCAGTACAGATTCCTGACCCTGCTTGTTAGCACACAGATATTTCAGTGTCTCTCCTAATAGTCCAATTCCAGTGTTAAATTGGATTGAATAGGTCAATATTAGTGTAGGCATGAGCTGTATTTTGCTGCTAATCAGATACATGAGCCTTTATTTGCCAAGCAACCTTTCCTTCTTGTGCAGAGCCAAAAATACTGAGTAAAGTCGTTCTACTTTTCTTCACATTGGTGAAAGAAGACTTTTTGCCATGCAGGTTGCATTTCGCATGTGAAATGAGAGTTTCTGACAGCAATATCAAGTGCTAAACAAGGAATAGGATTTACTGCTGTAGGATCTTATTTAAAACAGTGACACAGGAAATCTTTAAGCCTATTTTCAAATCATATAAAATAAACATATAACCAAATTTAAAACCTATTCTGGAAAACTAGGAATTATAATCCCTGCATCTCCTTGCATGGCAGGGACCTCCATCATTCTGGTTCCAGATTCCCTAAAGATCAAGAACCAGGGAATGAATTGTGTTTTATTCTCCATTGCTGTGGGGGTGCTGCCTGGGCTCTGCTCAGAGCTGGGGCTGCCTGGTAAATCCCTGCTGTGTTTGGGCTTAATGCTGAGCTTAATGAGGAAATTGAGTTCCAGGGGATATTAGATCAGTGTCGGAATTAGGGATGTGGTTTTCCATCATCCTCTCTCCAGTCAGGAACAAAAGTTACTGCCCATGTTTATCCTGGAGCTGAGAGATACAAGCTCAGGGCTTTGCAGTGTGCAGGGAATTTTTTGTGCAGTTAAGGATGTTTTGGATTTTAGCTCCTCTGAGATGAGGCAGTGCAATTATTCTGCTGCTCTTTGATCAACAAGGACAGGAGAGGCTTTCCACAATTCAACTGCTCAGAGAATCAGACAGGCCAACATAGGTCTGAGTGCTTTGGAATTAGCTGGGAAATGGGCAACGCCAGATTTCTGGTAATTTCTCAATTAGAACTGCTGATTATG